TTGTTAATCTGTCACCACAACAATAAAAATATGTGGGGAGCTGGGAGTGTGATGCTGGCTGTGTGTGTGTTTGTGTGTGTGTGTGTGTCTGTGTCTGTCTGTCCGTGTGTGTGTGTGTGTGTATCTCTCTATGTGCATCTCTGTGTCTGTCTCTCTCTCTATCTGTCTGTCTATGTCTCTCTCTCACCCTCTCTCTCTCTTACCCTCCCTCTCACAATCTCTCTTAGCCTTTCTCTCTCTCTTACTCTGTGCCTCTCTCTCTCTCACCCTCTCTCTCTCTTACCCTCTCTCACCCTCTCTCTGTCTCTTGCTCTGTGTGTGTGTGTGTTACCCTCCCTCCCTCTCTCTCTCCCTCTCTCTCTATTACCCTCTCCCTCTCCCTCTCTCTCTCTCTTACCCTCTCTCTGTCTCTGTCTATCTGTGTGTGTGTGTTACCCTCTCTCTTACCCTCTCCTTCCCCATCTCTCTCTCTCTCTGTCCGTCTGTGTGTGTGTGTATCTATATGTGTGTCTTTCTGTGTGTGTCTTTCTGTGTGTGTGTGTGTGTGTGTGTGTGTCTATCTGTGTGTGTGTGTCCTCCTCACCCTCTCCAGCAGCTGCAGTCTCTCCTGGGTGAGCAGGCTGCTCTGGGTGAGTTTCCCCAGCGTTCCCTCCAGCAGCAGCGTCCTGTGTGTGTGTGTGTGGAGGCGCTGCTGCAGCAGCTGCAGCTTCCTCTGCAGCGCCGCCACCAGCGCCTCCAGCTGCTCCCGGCTGCGCCTGCTGCGGTGGTAGCTGCACACACACACACCCAGAGTGTATTCAGAGCCTTTATCCACAAAGCACACACACTGGTCCAGTTATCACCATCTTAAAGCTGTTTTTGAGGCTTTTAAAGTTGTTTTTTGCAGCTTTTACAGCAGCTTTTTGGGCTTTGAATCCGTTTTTTGGGGCTATTAAAGCTGTTTTGGGGGTTTTCAAAGCTGTTTTGGGGTTTTTAAAGCAAATTTTGGGCTTTAAAAGCTGTTTTTAGGGCTTTTAAATCTGTTTTTGCATTTAGATGCTTTTATCCACAGCCACGCTCAAAGCACACACAATGGTCCAGTTATCACCAATCTGACAATCAGCTCTCTGGAGGAAAACACCTGTTTTTGGGGCTTTTAAAGGAGTTTTTTAGGCTTTGAAGCAGTTGTTTTTGCTTTTAAAGCTGATTTTAGGCTTTTAAAGCTGATTTTATGGCTTTTAAAGCTGTTTTTTGGGCCTTTAAAAGCACTTTTTTGGGCTTTTAAATCTGTTTTTTTGGCTTTTAAGTCTAGTTTTTGGCTTTTAAAACAGTTTTGAGGGCTTTTATGTTTCTGTTTTTGCACTTAGATGCTTTTATCCACAGCGACTGACAAACCAGACCCAATGTTCCAGCTCTCATCAGTCCGACAATCAGCCCCTTTAAGGCTCAATAATGCAGCTCGTTAGCAGCAGCACAGCTTCCCAAAAACTCAGAAAGAGGTCTGGGGAAGAGTTAGGATAGGAGATGCTCTGTGGAGAGGTGGATCTTTAAGAGTTTCCCAAAGATAGAAAGGGACTCTTAAGCTGCCTGTAGGCTAAGTGACCATACGCACTCATTTATTCGTCTGCTTCAGT